CCCCAAAACCCCAAAACCCCAAAACCCCGGTACTCTGCCAAATGATTGAAATAGTTTAAATACACCTTCTTGGCATACTCTTGGTTGTTGGGCATCTAATCCTCCTGTAGTCTAATTTCTTGACGTTCTCAAACTCTTTTAGGTAATTGTCAACCCCTAAATAAGGTTATCTGGGCAGATACTCTTGAGATTCACTTTATCAATCTCATCGCTCTTTTTAGTGAGCTGGAGGAGCAGTGATGGCTTTCGGATACATGGAGAAGAGTTGAGAAGTGTTTCAGGCAGACGAGATTGGGAGTTGGAGAGGGTCTGGGATGTTAGGTTAGAAAGGAGGCTTACAGATATGTCAAGATTTTCGAATTTTGAAAATTTGAGCTCTTTAGATGGAGTTTGGTAGATTTTTATGTCAGATTGTTGGTCATTTTCTGATACTTTAAAGTAAAATATTTTGAATAAAAAAGGATTTTTATTATTCTGCAGGAAATTAAACTCTTCACAAGATGCCAAAAGACTCCCTATCTCCTTCAAACTCCTATTCATCAGCTCCTGCAACGACTCAGGCAGTACAGCATGTGAAAATCTCTCCAAATCTCATGCTAAAATTTCCTAAAACATCAAAAACCCACCCTACCTTCAAAACCGGTATTGCTTGCTCAAAATCCCTCTGTTGCACCAACAGACACCCTTTAAGCGTATCCAAGCTTGCTTCAAAATACTTCCTCTGGTCTTTATCCACCCCAAAATCTCTCTTTCCGAACTCTTCTTTAACCTTCCCAATTTCCTTCACACTTTCTTCATAATTCCCCTGCTCAATCTCCCTCACAATTCTAGTCAAAACTTCTTGCTGGAAGTCCAGCATGACCTATGGCTCTGTACAGTTTAAAATACCTGATTTTGGAATTCTTCGTGGTTGAAGAAACATGGGAAAATTTCCCATTTGTAGCAGGAAAATTCGTTTTGGAAATTTTTGAGATTTGGCTTAATTTTAGGATTTTGTGTGGGGATTAGGGGGGTTTGGGATGACTGGAAGTGGGCTTGGGGGAGGTTGGAGTAGGGAGAGGAGCTGTATCGAGCGATGATGGATTTTATAAGTTCAGCTTAGCAGTGGCTTTAGTCGAGCTGAGTTGAAAGCTCTGGGTTTGGTCTAAGAGGAAGAAGTTATTAATTTTGAAACGCTTTCACAATATTTCTTCATAAAATTTCAGATATCAGTTACCATATTCAGTATTTATAAGCTCTTGAGGTTATTCTGAAAACTTGTGTTTACGCTTCTCTGGTCTAAATCAATAGTTTAGACTAAAATTCACAACAAGATTGATCTTCTTCCACTCTCTTGCTACTAGTGAACACATTCTTGTACATGGTCTCAATACTATAATGAGTGAGACTCAACCCTCAATACAATTAAAATATGACGCTGCTTACTTTTGAGAGATATCAGCGTTCTTAATGCTAGGCTTTGTATTACTAAAAATATTATGTTAAAAGCTACCTGAGCTCTTTAAAATTTAATTTCCCTCCTTCTTTTCTGCGCTTACGTTTGGAATGCCTAAGCTTTCTAGCAATCTTCAGAGCCCTCTCCCTCATATTGAGATAATCCTTATTCGAATAAATCCTCCGGTTGTTCTCAAGGGAGTTGGAATCAACCCGAATCTGGTTATTTAGATGAGGTATATCCTAAGTTCTTCACTGCAAAGAAGCTAGATGTTTGAGGCCGAGTGACCTCAAAACTATTATGCCTGTGCTGAAAAGTGTCCAAATTTAGTAATATCTTATTTTCTGGCTCTTTCTTGCACCAAAGCTGCTTTTCTTTAGGGACATGGATCAATTTTGTCTTACTTTTCTGAAGAAATAGAACTTTTTTATTTCCTCGCTTGGACTTATGAGGATATTTCCATTTCTAAAATTAAGCTAGTTCTTATACCTGAATTTTGAAGGGCCTTTTCAATTGTTCAGATGAGGTGGAGACTCGTTGGTTGCTTATAGTCCTGGAGATAAGGATCTCCCTAAACTTGACCATATCCTCATTCATAATCTTGTTCTGGTATGCCATTTTATAAAATAAAATAAAATTTGCTACCCAATGTAGGGGTTTTGGGGTTTTGGGGTTTTGGGGTTTTGGGG